CCAGAACCAGTTACCAAACCTTAGTTATCTAAGGAAGATGTCGACTTTCCGTATCCCAGAGCCTTGGAACCCGAAAGGGGCGCCGAGTTTCGATGGAAAAACGGCAGAGAGCCTCTTGAAATATGTCAGACATATCAGAATGATCATAGAAGGAGCAGCTATCACGACTGAACCTGAAAAGATAGCCACGTTCGAAAAGTACCTGCCTCTGACTATCCAGGAAGAGTGGGCTACTCTAGACACGTATAAAGGGAAAGTACTTGATCCCTGGATCACAGAGATTGAGTCGCTTTTCCCAGAAATCAAGACCATGAAGCAAGGCTCTATTGCCAGGCTGAATGAGATCTGCAATAGCTACAAGGACTTAGGAAAGGAGGACCGAGGCACTATTAAGCGCTTTGGAGTATCCTTCAGGAATGAGGCCGAGAAGCTTAAAAAGCCTCCCTCTCAGGTCACGAATTCGAGTCTGGTTGAAAAATACTTGACTGTGTTTGAACCAGGTTTTGCGGCTGAAATCCAGAGTACTATTACTCAAGAGATGTATACACATCTAAGGTTTCCAGCTACAACGGCTGCTACACAGGCTCAAGCAGCTCTGATTGACAGACCTGAAGAGACCATTGAGTTGGAAGAGCTATTTCCATTGGTTGAACGCCTCTGTAAAATAAATGTTAGACCCAATACTCTTTCGGCTAATCCAGCGGCTGCTGGACCCTTAATGGGGGCTGGAAGTGCTGGAACAAGCACAATGGAGTTGAGTCGTTTCAAGACAGAGATGAAATCTGAATTGAATGACATGTTTGCTGGAGGAATGGCCAGAATGCGTGACTCTCAAGAATTATCTGAGAAACGTATCAAGGCTGAGTTGACCCAAGGGTTAGACCAGGGATTCAAAAGCATGCAAGCCATGTTTTCCCAGCAGAACAATACAAGCTTTAGGAGGGAAACTCCCCCTCATATTGTAACCGCTGGCACAGCAACGGTACAGCCAGACAGTGATCCCAATAGGAATTCTGGTGGCTGTTTCTATTGTTGGGTAGTAGGGCATAGAGTGGCAGATTGTCCATTTAAACGTGAACATATAGACATGGGGAAGATCATCATTGAAAATGCAAAGATGAGGCTTGGAGATGGGAATGCCTTTCCAAGGTATCCCAGCAACAAGAGTCAGAAACAGCGTGTTGATGATTATTATGGGAACAAGGCAGTTCCTGGAGCACCCCAAGTCCTTATGCTTCAGTATAACCCGCCTCCTTCGATTGTTACTCAGTTCTACAATGAAATGATGGACAATCTTAATGCTGTCTATGACAGTAGAAGTGATGAGATCCGTACCGTACCTTACAAGTACAGAGAATCATCTCAGATAATAACCAAACAGTGGTGGCACCATATAGTCATCCCATGGCTAGTTATCAACAGGCCCAGTATCAGCCAGTGCAGCCCCAGGGACAGTACAGACCACCTGTTTCCCAAGGTCCTACCTATGGGAACGTACAGATGTACAACCCACAGGGAGCTGAGTTCCCACCGGTTCCACCAACACCGCCTGTTACGTCTAACAGTGCAATGTTTGGAGGATTGAATGTGGAACAGTTCGTTCAAGTTGCTCAATTAGTTGATGGCTTGAAAGGATTGAACTTGGGAGGAATGCCTACCCAGCAGAGTCAGTTTGTGCAGACACGGTCCAGCAGTAATGCTGGTCCAAGTGCGAATCAGACTGGGTCCCCAAACTGAGCGGTCCGATGAAGGCGGCAGAAGAACGGATAAAAGCCCCTCTTCGACTAGCTGAGCCGCCGGAGGATGGGAGTGAAGCTGAAAAGAGTAGGAATTGGAGAGAGAAAGTACCAAAGCGCCTTCCTGGGGTCGAGGTTGTGATGACCAAGAGACCTAAGAAGATTGTATCGTTTAGAGAGCCAGTGGAGGACTCGCCCTCTGAGCAAGTACACAAGGCCGTCCCAGTGGTTTATAACCATGTTAGAGGCAATATACCCGTGGAAAGCCAGCAGGACTCAGGACTAGGTGGTAAGGAGGTTAGTTATCTAACAAGACCGACCAACAATATACCAGCCACCAGTCTTGAGAGAGTCAGGGAAGAGGAAGTTGAGCCTAGTGGAAGGGCAGTGACCGAGGGACCAACGGGAACGTTGGTTAGAGACATTGAAACAGAAGAGTCGGTGAGAGACCAGACTAGACCTGAAGAGTTGGTGGAGACACCGAGTAGACCGAGAATCGCGAGCACAAGAAAAAAATTAAATTGCCATAATCGACTGCCCTACGACCTGGCCCGGAGTCGATCCAGGGACTTCCACCATCAATTTCGTGAAAAGGCTAATGGAGAGTGGGTGTGATGCATTTCACCACCAGGTCTTATTCCCATACCTTGGAACTTGGACTTGTCCTGCACTTTTTTCTGTGCGAGTCCAAAGTCAGTTTGAAAAAATTAATTAAGTACAACAACCTTATGACCTGGCCCGGAGTCGAACCGGGAGCTCTCACCATCAATTTCTGCTTGCACGGCGTGGCAAAGAGGGTGGGTGTGAACCGTTCACCACCAGGTCTCCCTCCCTCCTTTGCAACTTGAATACGTGCGAGGAAATTGTGTCAATATCTGCACTGATGAAAATGAAGGCAGATCTGTGCCACCATATTTCCTGACCTCAATGAAAGAATCAGTTGAATGTTATGTCCAACGAAATTATAACCACACTGTGGTGCGTGGATCCTGTGACTATGATCAAGATTCAATAATGTGGAAATTGAAACAAAAATTGCATGACTTCCTCACAACCTGGCCCGGAGTCGAACCAGGGACTCCCACCATTAATTTCGTGAAAAAGCTAATGGAGAGTGGATGTGATACATTTCACCACCAGGTCTCATCCCCATTCCTTTGAAGTTGGACTTGTCCTGCACTTTGTTTCTGTGTAGTCCGAAAAAACATTGCACTGAGTACTGCCTCATGACCTGGCCCTGAGTCAAACCAGGGACTCCCACCATCAATTTCTTAATTGAAAGCGAATGAAGAGTGGATGTGATGCATTTCATCACCAGGTGTTATCCCTATGCTTTGTACCCTGGATTTGTGCCATCATGTGCAGCATTCTAAGTTGATTTGAAATAAAAAAGGATATGATATATCAGGTACAACCCAATGACCTGGCCCGGAGTCGAACCAGGGACTTCCACCATCAAATTTTGCATACAAGGAAGCTTTGCAAAGAGGGTGCGTGTGAACCGTTCACCAGCAGGTCTCCCTCCACTCCTTCATATATTCATACTCCGAATACATGCAAGGAAATCGTGTCAATATCTGCATTGATATACAACGCAGGTAGGCCTCTGCATTGAAGCAGTTGATGATTTGTCTAACAAAATTACACCGTGATTACTATGAGTGTGATCACGAATGTGGGCTGACAGAGAGAGAAAAAAATTAGGCAACTGCTATTGGTTTACGACCGGGCCCAGAATCGAACCAGGGACTCCCATCAATTTTTTTGCCGAAGCCCTGCAAAGAGGGGTGAGTGTGATGCATTTCACCACCAGGTCTTATTCCCCTCCCTCATAATCTAGCTTTGTGCTGCATTTTGCCGACAGTTTGAAAAAATAACATCCAATACGGCAGCATTATGACCTGCCCCGGAGTTGAACCAGGGACTCCCACCATCAATTTTTGCCGAAGCCCTGTAAAGAGGGGTGAGTGTGATACATTTCACCACCAGGTCTTATTCCCCTCTCTTGTAATCTAGCTTTGTGCTTATGAACATCATCAAGAATGTGGCCAACAGAGAGAGAAAAAAATCAGGCAACTGCTATTGGTTTACGACCTGAATCGATCCAGGGACTCCCATCGTCAATTTTCGCCCTGCAAAGAGGGTGGGTGTCAACCGTTCACCACCAGATCTCATTCCCCTCCTGTGAAATTCGAATACATGCAAGGAAATTACATCAATGGAAATGCAGGTAGGTCTCTGAGCCCGCATTCCCTGACCTGGATGAGAGAAGCAGTTGAATGTTATGCCAACGAAATTATAATTACACTGTGGTGTGTGGATCCTGTGAATATGATCAAGATTCAATAATCTGGAACTTGAAACAAAAATTGCATGACTTCCTCACAACCTCGCCCGGAGCCAAACCAGGGACTCCCACCTAGATTTACTGCAAAAACAAAACAGAAGGGTGGGTGGATGTGATACACTTCACTACCAGGTCTTATTCCCCTCCTTCATACCCTGAGTACACGCAAGGAAATTGTGCCAATAGAAAAATCAGCAGCCCGGGTGAAAGAAGCAGTTGATTTGTGCAACAAGATTATACTGTGGTTACATACTATGAACATGATCAAGAACCTGGAAACAGAAAAGAAAAAAAGACGCTGCTATGTTTGAATGACCTGGCCCGGAGTTGAACCAGGGACTCCCACCATCAATTTTTACCGATGAGGCCCTGCAAAGAGGGGTGGGTGTGATGCATTTAACCACCAGGTCTCATTCCCCTCCTTTGTACCCTGGGTTCATGCAATAGCTGTAGACTTTGCAGAGTTCAAAGTGAGGGAGACAACAATGTGATCCTTCACCATGGCCTACAGTCAGGATGGGTGGGTGTAATAAATTTCACCACCAGGTCTTATTCCCCTCCCTTGTAATCTAGCCTTGTGTGCATTTTGCCGAGTTTAAAGTCAGTTTGAAAAAATAACATCCAATACGGCAGCATTATGACCTGCCCCGGAGTTGAACCAAGGACTCCCGCCATCAATTTTTGCCTACAAGGAAGCTTTGCAAAGAGGGGTGGTGTGAACCGTTCACCACCAGGTCTCCCTCCCTCCCTCCTTCATACCCATAAGACATGCAAGGAAATCATTATCACTATCTGCACTGATCCAGTAGCCTGGGCGAAAGAAGTAGTTGGTGGTTTTGCGAAATTACACTGTGGTTTCTATGAGTGTGATCAAGAATGTGGGCCAGCAGAGAAAAAGATATTCAAATAACACCTTACGACCTGGCCCGGAATCGAACCGGGAGCTCCCACCATCGATCTGCTAGATGGTTACACCGAAATGAGGGCGGGCATGATACATTTCACAACCAGGTCTTATCCTTCTCTCTCCCTTGTAATCTACCTTTGTGCTACATTTTGCCGAGTTTAAGGTCAATTTGAAAAAATAACATCCGATACGGCCGCGTATGACCTGGCCCGGAATCGAACCGGGAGCTCCCACCATCGATCTGCTAGATGGTTACACCGAAATGAGGGCGGGCATGATGCATTTCACCACCAGGTCTCCCTCCCTCCCTCCTTCATACCCATAAGACATGCAAGGAAATCATTATCATCATCTGCACTGATCCAGTAGCCTGGGCGAAAGAAGTAGTTGGTGGTTTTGCGAAATTACACTGTGGTTTCTATGAGTGTGATCAAGAATGTGGGCCAGCAGAGAAAAAGATATTCAAATAACACCTTACGACCTGGCCCGGAATCAAACCGGGAGCTCCCACCATCGATCTGCTAGATGGTTACACCGAAATGAGGGCGGGCATGATGCATTTCACCACTAGGTCTTATTCCCCTACCTTGGAACTTGGACTTCTCCTGCACTTTTTTCTGTGTGGAGTTCCAAGTCTGTTTGAAAAAATTATTAAGTACAACAACCTTATGACCTGGCCCGGAGTCGAACCAGGGACTTCCACCATCAATTTTTGCATACAAGGAAGCTTTGCAAAGAGGGTGGGTGTGATGCACTTCACCACCAGGTCTTATTCCCATACCTTGAACCTAAACTTGTCTTACACTTTTTTTCTGTGTGGAGTTCCAAGTCTGTTTGAAAAGAATCATCTGTTGGATTTGGAGTGGCAGTGCACAGCTGTGCGAGCTGTTGCGAGCTCGACATCCGGTGCTGATTGGGCACTGACATGCTGTTGGAATAGCTGTTGAAGATAGTCAGAGTTACTCGCTCATAGTAGCTACTGTTATGATACAACATAGCTTTAGGTACAGCCCAGATAGGATACATAGTATAAAGTAGCATACTTACAAGCATGTACGCTACCAGATTACAACGAGATTCCCCACTCTACTCGCTTGTGACGTTCCCTCGGGGCTTATTTCAACATCATCCAAGTGCAATTCCATGACCTCGAACTGGGGACTCCCACTTCCACTGGTCCAGACGTCCACGAAGGAACAGTGGGTGTGCACCATTCAATGGTCACCTGGTTTTATTCCCCGCCCTTGTAACCTGGGTCTGTGTTACAGAATTTTTTGGCTGGATGGCCACACAAAAATACTGACATCAGAGTCATGACCTCAAACCGGGAACTCCTACCAATACGTCCCCAAACTGATGGATTATAAGGAGGATGGGGTCGCCACCAGGTCTCCCTCCCTCCTTCATACCCTGAATACATTGCAAGGAAAACTATACCACCACTTATCAACACTATTATGTAGATCGTGAAGGAAGCAGTTGAACTTTCTCTTCAACAAAAATAGGATTGCGGGTTTTAACTATGGCGACCGCCACGCTCGATTGGGATAGATGTTATGATACTAGATTTAGATTGTTGATTGGAGATATGAGTTGAGAGATGTAGAAGGGAGATTTAGTGTTGGTCTTGCGACATGCCCGATTTTGGTGGCCAGGAACATCTAAAGATATTTACAGGATTATGTATACCGTGGATAGCTGGCAATATGTGTTGGAAGACATAGGACGTGGCCAGATGAATGATATCCGGTGCTACATGGGCCCGGGTGCTGAAATAAAGCAAATTGTGTCCGAATGGGTGGGCAGATTTGTGAGTACAATGGGGGAATACAAAAAAAAGACATCATCATGACCTGGCCCGGAGGCGAACCGAGGGCTCCCGCTTCAAATTGAACCTTGCCTCAAACTAAGTAGAGTGGGTGTGATACATTTCACCACCAGGTCTCATCCCCATTCCTTTGAAGTTGGACTTGTCCTGCACTTTGTTTCTGTGTAGTCCGAAAAAACATTGCACTGCGTACTGCCTCATGACCTGGCCCGGAGTCAAACCAGGGACTCCCACCATCAATTTCTTGATTGAAAGCGAATGGTGAGTGGATGTGAAGCATCTCACCACCAGGTCTTATCCCTATGCTTTGTACCCTAGATTTGTGCCATTATGTGCAGAGTTCAAAGTCAGCTTGAGACAAAAAACGGATATGGTATATCGGGTACAACCCAATGAGCTGGCCCGGAGTTGAACCAGGAACTCCCACCATCAATTTTTGCCTACAAGGAAGCTTTGAAAAGAGGGTGGAGGTGAACCGTTCACCACCAGGTCTCCCTCCCCTCCTTCACACCCCGAATACACGCAAGGAAATCGTGACAATATCTGCACTGATCCAGCAGCCTGGGTGAAAGAAGTAGTTGGTGGTTTTGCGAAATTACACTGTGGTTTCTGTGAGTGTGATCAAGAATGTGGGCCAGCAGAGAAAAAGATATTCAAATAACACCTTACGACCTGGCCCGGAATCGAACCGGGAGCTCCCACCATCGGTCTGCTAGATGGTTACACCGAAATGAGGGCGGGCATGATACATTTCACAACCAGGTCTTATCCCTCTCTCTCCCTTGTAATCTAGCTTTGTGCTACATTTTGCCGAGTTTAAGGTCAATTTGAAAAAATAACATCCGATACGGCCGCGTATGACCTGGCCCGGAATCGAACCGGGAGCTCCCACCATCGATCTGCTAGATGGTTACACCGAAATGAGGGCGGGCATGATGCATTTCACCACTAGGTCTTATTCCCCTACCTTGGAACTTGGACTTCTCCTGCACTTTTTTCTGTGTGGAGTTCCAAGTCTGTTTGAAAAAATTATTAAGTACAACAACCTTATGACCTGGCCCGGAGTCGAACCAGGGACTTCCACCATCAATTTTTGCATACAAGGAAGCTTTGCAAAGAAGGGTGGGTGTGAAGCATTTCACCACCAGGTCTCCCTCCCTCCTTCATACCCCGAATACATGCATGGAAATTTTGTCAATATCTGCATCGATATACAACGCAGGTAGGCCTCTGCATTGAAGCAGTTGATTTGTCCAACGAACTTACACTGTGTGTTTACCGCGAACATAATCAAGAATGTGGGCTGACAGAGAGAGAAAAAAATCAAGCAACTGCTATTGGTTTATGACCTGGCCCGGAATCGAACCAGGGACTTCTACCATCAATTTCTTGATTGAATAGGCGTATGGAGAGTGGGTGTGAAGCGTTCACCACTAGGTCTTATTCCCCTCCCTTGTAATCTAGCTTTGTGCTTGTGAACATCATCAAGAATGTGGCCAACAGAGAGAGAGAAAAATCAGGCAACTGCTATTGGTTTACGACCTGGCCCGGAATCGATCCAGGGACTCCCATCGTCAGTTTTCGCCTACAGAGGCCCTGCAAAGAGGGGGGGTGTGAACTGTTCACCACCAGATCTCATTCCCCTCCTGTGAAATTCGAATACATGCAAGGAAATTACATCAATGGAAATGCAGGTAGGTCTCTGAGCCCGCATTCCCTGAAAGAAGCAGTTGAACTTTATGTCCAACGAAATTATAATTTCACTGGTGCATGGATCCTGTGAATATGATCAAGATTCAATAATGTGGAAATTGAAACAAAAAGCGCACTACTTTATCATAACCTGGCCCGGAGTCGAACCAGGGACTCCCACCTAAATTTACGACAAATACAAACAGAAGGGTGGGTGGATGTGATACATTTCACCACCAGGTCTTATTCCCCTCCCTCGTAATCTAGCTTTCTGCTGCATTTTGTTTGCACAGTCTCACAGGGGGGGAAGGAGCGAGGCATGTAACTGTTACATGCCTCAAAGGCAGTTGCCAAGCAGGCGCGAGGCAGGTGTGAGGCATGCAACAGGGCAGTCTGCATGGCAGTCAAAGACAATTTTAAGTCAAAAAGTTCAAAGAGTTTGTCAATCAAGCTTGTCAATCACCCTGTCATCGCGATCGCCTGCTCATTGAGTTCTCACGCTGATTGCGTCGCGCAGCAAATAGGCAGTTTCTTCACCACAAAGTGTTCAGTTGTACTCACATAATTTGTAGTTGAATGATATCCTTGCATTTCTACCTGAGAGGTATACCACACAACTGGAGCTCTTTGAGCTCTTTGACTGCTGCCCCCCTTGGCTCTCAATCAAATTACCTGAGGGTTCGAATCGCAATCACCTGCTCATTCAGTTCTCATGCTGATCACATTGTGCAGCAAAAATATGATTTCTTCACCACGAAGTGTTCCCACTTACTCATGTAGTTTGCAGTCTTTGAATGTCATTCTTCTATTTCTACTTGAGGGGTACACCATGCAATTGTATGTGCCGTCATCGGCACCACAGGCAGGTGCCGAAATAACACAAAGTGTCCGATTGGCGAGCACATCACGAGGGCAACAGGGAAACAGGAAGAAAAAAATTGCCATAATCGACTGCCCTACGACCTGGCCTGGCGTCGAACCAGGGACCCCAGCCATCAGTTTTTGTCTTCATGAACAGGTGAATGGAGAGTGGATGTGATACATTTCACCACCAGGTCTCATTCCCCTCTTTTACAACTTGCATATGTGCGAGGAAATTGTGTCAATATCTGCACTGATGAAAATGGAGGCAGATCTGAGCCACCATATTTCCTGACCTCAATGAAAGAATCAGTTGAACTTTATGTCCAACGTCAATGAAAATGCAGGTAGGTCTCCGAGCCCACATTTCCTGACCTGGATGAAAGAATCAGTTGAACTTTATGTCCAACGAAATTATAATTACACTGGTGTGTGGATCCTGTGAATATGATCAAGATTCAATAATGTGGAAATTGACACAAAAATTACCTTACTTCCTCACAACCTGGCCCGGAGTCGAACCAGGGACTCCCATTTCAAATTTGGTGCCACACACTTAAAGAGGGTGGACGGGTGTGATACAATTCACCACCAGGTCTTATCCCCTTCTCTTGTAATCTAGCTTGTGCTGGATTTTTCCGAGTTTAAAGTCTGTTTGAAAAAAAACCATTCGACTCCAATACTATGACCTGGTCCAGGGTCAAACCGGGTACTCCCACCATCAATGAGGATGCCTTGCAAAGAGGAGTGAGTGTGAACCGTTCACCACCAGGTCTCCCTCCCCTCCTTCATACCCCAAATACATGTAAGGAAATTGTTTCAATATCTGGATTGATAAACAACGCAGGTAGGCCTCTGCATTGAAGCAGTTAATTTGTCCTACAAAATTACACTGTGGTTTCCATGAGTGTGATCACGAATCTGGAAACAGAAGAGAAAAACAAAGGGGAGGATCATGAGTGATGACCTGGCCCGGAGTCGAACCAGGGACTCCCACCTAACTTTACTGCAACTGAAGGGTGGGTGGATGTGAACCGTTCACTGCCGGGTCTCATCCCTATGCTTTGTACCCTGGGTTCATGCAATAGCTGTAGACTTTGCAGAGTTCAAAGTGAGGGAGACAAAAATGTGATCCTTCACCATGGCCTACAGTCAGGATGGGTGGGTGTGATAAATTTCACCACCAGGTCTTATTCCCCTCCCTTGTAATCTAGCCTTGTGTGCATTTTGCCGAGTTTAAAGTCAGTTTGAAAAAATAACATCCCATACGGCAGCATTATGACCTGCCCTGGAGTTGAACCAAGGACTCCCGCCATCAATTTTTGCCTACAAGGAAGCTTTGCAAAGAGGGGTGGTGTGAACCGTTCACCACCAGGTCTCCCTCCCTC